GAAAGCTTCTTAAATGTTTTGTTTTTCTTTTGTTTGTTTAGAGCTGACCTCCAATCATGTATTTATTTCACTATAATTAATTAAAGTTACAAATTACATCCAAGTATATTCCAGAAGTATGAGTTCGGTTGAAAAGACTAAACCATAAAAATGGAGGACCATTTTGGACAGGGGATGGCTGAAATTGCGAAATTAATTTCCATTATCCTCTCTCACTCCACCCATGAAAAAAAAAAAATAAAAGGGTCCACTTTTTCATTTAATCGGGTATGTATGAATATTATATTGTTATTTTTGAGTATATATTTAATATACTTTTTTACGGATTCTATTCTGAAATTAATTCAGAACCCCTAAAACGTAAGCTTCAATTCTACTGGCTCTGTCCCCTTGACCCCACCGGAAATTCTATTCAATTCACTGGCGTTGGCACAAATTTAGCGGGTGTGCCAGCCCTCCTGTTTTGCTGGGTACTTTTTAATGAACCTCTACGGAAACAAACCCTCGGGCATAGAGCTATCCCCATGCTTTCCATATAATGTTTTTGTTGTGCTGTTTGTTTTTGTGAACAATTTATTTTTTATTTAAACTTATAATATGTAGTTATTTTTGTTGTTTTGCTGTTTTGTAAACAGAACATTTTTTTCCTCATTGCCAACTAATGTTGAAACTATAAAGTAAAAAACAATTTTTAGAGAAATTATAAAGTAAAAATAATAGGCCTACACGAAAAAAAAAATATTCATAAAGAAAATTATGAAGTAAAAAACCCCAAGGAACCAAGTTGACGTCAGTAGAGAGACCATGGTGAGACTCATCAACATTATCGTCGTCATCATCATCAGGGCTGTGGATTAAACGTTTCGAATATTAACACCGTGTCATGTTTATTTTTCAAATACAGATCATACAGATAGGACTTAGACAGACTTTTTTTTTTTTAGCAGATTAAGGCATCTTCAGCTGGGGATTGAAAGAGATGAAACAAGACCAAATTGTCAGCCTTAATGTAGGAGGCAAATACTACATGACAAGTGTATCTACTCTGACTACCTATCCCGACTCAATGATCGGAAGTATGTTCAGTGGACGATTCCCGAAAGTAAGGGACAATCAAGGCAATTACGTAATAGACCGTGATGGCAAAATATTTCGCTACATCCTGAACTTCTTGCGTACCGCGCAACTTTGTCTCCCAGAGCGCTTTGCTGAATGGGATCTGCTGGAGGCGGAGGCGGATTTTTACCAGATTGCGCAGCTATCTGAAGCAATTTTAACTGCTAAAGAAAGCCGTGGCTTGTATTGCAGTAATGTGACATTCGAATTAGAACAGCGCAAACACTGGGGTGGGCTCACGGAGTGGTATGGGTACACGGACTCTAATATTATACGTTCTATGCCAAAATTGAGCCGTGATGATGATAATCGACTTATTTGCAACTTGTGCAAAGTTGACGAGGAGTCACTTCGTGCAGGGATATGCAAATGCAAAGACCCATTTAAACGATTTTTCCAAGAAATCAGCAATGCTGGCTTTCGCTACTGCTCTTCTGTGGCAGAAAATCTAAGAAAAAGTGAAGAAATTGTTGTATGGACATTCTGTCGTGGACCATTATATTCTCAGTAAATGATTTGTACAACTTGTTTAATGTATATTCCATATGAGCGGTTAGGTCTCATTTTAATGCAGAACACGCCTGAAATTCGCTTGTGTTCATCTTTCAAGGCACATTGCAGGCCGGCGTTTTGTCTGCCTACACCCAGGATTATAGAGGGTACTCTTAGGATGCCCAGCTCTGTCGTCAGAGAAAAAGAAAAGCCTACATCGATTTGTCAGTTTTAGTCTCGCAATAACTGTTTAAGCCTTAATTATTCTAAAAATGATTATAAATGCGTACCGGTACCTCTTTTAGGATGTTGTCAGACAAAATTGCTCTTCGTGTCTACACTGCATTGTCAGCGACTTAAGAGTCTCACATAGGAACGTGCTGTTTAAGACGTAAATCATAAAAATATAAATATCGAAAAAATAAATGATCAATCAGTAATCACCACCGTCACCATCATAATTTAAGATTTGTGCACGTACAGGCCCTGGAATGAAAGAATGGATTGAAATAAAACTTTGCACACCATGCACAGAACATTATAAAGAGCAAGCTTATATCTCTTTACACATACTGTAAGCCAAAGTATGAGCGAAACCTGATTTCAGGCTGAAATGAATAGGCCTATTTGTCACGTCACAAAACCATTGGTGATCGATCAGTACGGTACCGGTACGCCGTATTTATTTTAGTCTCTTGGTGGGTGGACAAAACAAAGTACCGGTACTGAAGTATAATTTTAACTTATTAGTATTCTAGCTAGGCCTATAGCATAAGCAAATTCTATATTTATTTTTGTTAATGATAACAGAAAGTTTTGCAAATAAAGTTTAGTGTGATTGGCTAATTAATGTGTCTTATTCCGATACAAAGGCAGTGCGCACACTCTTCGTTATAGACCCTACATCCATGCAAAGACTAAAGACTAAAATAACATGTCTGTTTGATTGAAATAAACATGAAGGGCGAATAAGCGCCCCGTTTGAATAAGCGCCCCTCAAAAATATCATAAGATTTTCTTATTAGCAAGTCAATAATCCAATCAATCCTGGGACTGTGGTTGTTGGCATGATTTGAGCTACAGAGTGGAAACACATTCTTCTTAAGGTCAATATCAAAATGAGGATATTTCTCTTGGACAGATGAGTGCTCCGATCCCTGGACAGACAGTAGGCCTATATTTCCAACTTTACTCTTTTTACATATTTGTCTATGCATAGTCCTACTCCTCTTTTTCTTTTTCCGACCTTTAGCACATTCTCATCTGAGTTTTCAAGAAAAAATACAATGATCCTGCCATCTTGCTAATCTCAATCGGCCGATGGCCAACAAGCTAACCACTACCCACTACTACTAATTGCATCTGCTATTTTGTTGTTATGTAAATATTCACACATTCTTGTCATGAGCCATGTTTTCTGGACCACTATTCGTAATGTCCTTATATAATCTTTTTTCATTCAAAAAGTGCCTCTTGAATTTAATAATTTCCCATAAGAACCCCTCGATTTTCGTCTATTTCCATAAGCGCCCCCTAAATTTCCACTCTGTTTTCATAAGCGCCCCGTTTAAATAAGCGCCCCTCAGAAAGTGTAAAAAATAATTTAAGCGCCCCTCCGCTTATTCGCGCGAGTACGGTATTTCAATCAAAATTACTGCGATGGGGTTTACGCTTTTCCTTTACAATCTTAGATGGGTAAGAGTACCGTAAATAGTTATTAAAATGTTGTTCTGCATTTCTTGATGTTTTCTTGAACATTATTAACGCAGGCGCGGATCCAGACCTTCTCACCGTTCGCATGGCGAAGGTAAGGGTGAGATAAAATAAAAAGAAAAAAAAGAAGTGATTGCAGCTACTGGTGGTTTGACGAATTTCAACTCTCCCCTTCTTTCAAAAATGCCACCTGCCTCAACCAAAGACAAAAATATTGATAAAATAAGTACACTACCTTTTTTTTGCATTGTCTAAATATTGCGTAGGCCTACTGTGACAACGTACACTTTTGAGTTTGTCACAATATATGGTTAATCAGGAATCAATCAGAGGGAGGATATATATGTGCGTTGCTTATGAAAGACATAATTTTATTATAGTTTGTTATTTCAAAATCAAAGTAAAGTGAAAACCTATGGAGGCCTATTTTAACTATTACTTTACTATTGCTATTGCTATTGATTATTATTTTATTATTCTAACGAATGTTATGATGAAAGAAACGGGTCTTTATTGGAGTGGGTAGCCTAATTGTAGACCTAGAGCTTAAAAACACTCAAAAGCTGGAATTTCATACACCTAATGGAAAGATAAATTGACCACCAAGCACAGAGAGACTGAAAATGAATACGGTATCCGGAAGAGCAACGACAGGAATGGTATGTGAATTTCAAATCAAACAGCGTTGCAAGTGGAAAAAGAATTTAAAACTGGAAAACTGAGAAAATATCTAATTAATAAACGTAATACTCTGTGGCAAGTAAAATGTAAAGTTATCCAGACCTGTACACCCAGTGAGTGGGGTTGTTCAATGGGTGCCTACGCACTCCAACAAATTTGAAACGTTCCACATTTTTATGACAGTCGGTAATGTACGGTACTGAGTATAAAATTTGTGATTTTTGTTTTTTTACATTTTACCCAGTAATCTAATGTTGGAGATTGTGTAAAGGGCTACTGTACGGAACCCCTGCAATACTCGAACTGCGATCCGACATGCACTGAATACAAAGCGTTCTTTTTTCTCTCATCTGGGGGGGGGGGGAGTAGTCCTTGTTATGCATGTGCAGCACTTTTAGTTTCATTCTTCTCCTACCAGATACTCCCATGTGAAGAAAGGCAAACATAAGGGGTAGGTGTCCGGGACTGTGCTAAGGTGGGAGGTGTTCTCTCAGAGTTTCTACATATTCCCTTTGTTGTGCCTTTATTTCTTTTTTTGCTTTTTGTTTTGTTTTTTTATTTTTTTAAAATTTATTTATTATTTTTATGATTTGAAGCGCTGTCTTGCATTATGCGCTATACAAGTGTAACATTATTATTATTAGGCTATTATTACTATTATTATTATTATTACTATTATTTATTATTATTATTATTATTATTATTATTATTATTATTATTATTATTATTATTATTATTATTATTATTATTATTATTATTATTATAAACTAGGTGAATTCCCTAGCAGAAAGGACGAATTCAGCTTTTCCCTGTGCTCAATACGTATATTGGTAGTTCCAATCTGAGGTATTTTTAAGAGACTTGGTTATAGAAAATCATTTAAATTAGTCTTCCGTACATCAGAAACACTGGACTTTTTTAGGCCTGTCTCCCCTACACCTCAATTGGGGGAACAATGTGGTCTCCTGACGGCTCGCTTTAATCCCACGACTAAGCCCGAGCGGCCACCCGTCATTCTCCAGGCCTCCTCCTCATCATCATCATGGTTAATATTCCATAGTAAAATATGGAAAACCACCGGCGGATTTCAAGCTGTCGAGCCAGACCACCTGCCCCTTAACCCACACAATTTTTCAAAATAAAAAAAAATAAAATTATATTCAAATTATAATTCTGGGAGTGCCATTTCCGGCCATCTAGAGGTGGCATAATCATACTTTTTCCTACCTCAGCCCACACCCTCCAACTGTGAAAGTCCTTCCTGGACCCCCTTTATTTGAAAATTTCCTGGATCTACCACTGAAAACTATGAATTTGGAGTGTATTCATTCATGAATAGACGTTTCAGAATGCAAGAAATTTAGAAGCAAGCATTCAGAAAAATTGAAACTTTGGAGGAGGATCAGCAGACCGCCACAACACCTCCCCCCCCCCCCAACTAAAATGTGTCTTTTATTTTAACCACAAATTACGCTTTCTTCTTACGACTCCACCCACCCTGGGACCTCAAATGTGCGATAGTCAGGGTAAACTCTGGATCCACGCTTGTTAAAATGCATCTTTCAGTCATAATACAATACTCTCTTTGAACCATTACCTGCAGTAACCAGTTGCCATTCAATGTTCAGAATTTGTAGGCCTTGTCTTAATAAATTGTTTTGCTTAATTCTTTTAATGCTATTATTAAAGACAAGTTATCCCTCAAACTAAAACAAAAACTTCAGAAATGATATATTTATTACAAAGTGAATATTTGTTTCTACAAAAATCAACAGTTACAAAGTCAAGTACACAGAACAGTACTATTATTGGGCAGGTCCTCTGGTCAGATTGGATTATACAATACACCATTGCATTGAATCGACAATGCATGGCATATAATATGCAGTGGCTGCACATTGGCATATCAAAAAATACTGGAATGGCTTTTTCAGGAGATAGTAATATCATTATCAGTAACTGATCGTCTGGGTATTATTTTTTAATCAGATACCGAATAAAAACAAAATAAAAATGGTAATAAATCTGACAGACTTCAGACAAAATATTATTTATCTCTCATTGCAAGTCGCCAGATGATTAAGGAGCTAGCAAAGCATTTTGTTGGATTATCTGGAAATGCCACTGCACTCGTAAATGTATGCCGTGTAATGTAATGTAGTGAACAAAATGCACACTAAATTAAATATCACGCATTTGTAATGTAATGTAGAACAAACGCACGTAAATACAGAATATATGAAGCTTCTACTCGACCTGGAAGAATATTTCGGAAAATACATAATTTAATGTTTTAGTCATTTATTTTGATTGAACCTCAATTTCTATTAATAAACGTGATAATAATAATAATGTGATTATTCATTGCATAGATATTATCACTCACCATTGCAAACCACCAGCGGCTTCTGCATGTGTATGTCAGACATACATATTTCTAAACTAAGTCATTTCATATATTGTTTCCAATAAGCCTTCTCGTTAATGAACATACGCCTGAATTAATATTTTAAATCAGAAACACTGACTGTAATAAGCTGGAGAAAAATTAAATTTAGTAACAGTACAAGCTTCTAATAAATGCACATTGCGGCAATTCGCTAGTGCAAAAAAGGGGCGTGGCACTAAATAGGTAAAGGGACATAAACTCTGAAATTTTCCACTGCAACTGGGATTTTTCAGCACAATCTGACATGGTACCATGGGAGACATTGCTTAATTAGGCAAGAAAAAGCAGTTTTAAATTTAACTTACAGGATTTCCCTGATTTTACCTTTCATATTACAATATAAATACTGTATAGGGTATTGAAATGTTTTCTAGGATTCAATGGCCCAGTTGGTTAATAAAAAGTATTTTTATATACAGTACAAAAAATATTTTAGGAACACTCAGACCTGAACAAATTGTGAAAAAGTCCCTAAATAATATTTGATTGATGATTAAACTACTCGTAAGCTGGGCATACACTACGCCAACAGATGCTTAAGCATCGTTTCCATACTATCGCTACACGCTATCACTGACAGCTTTTACAGTAGTTATGCTGATTGGTCGGTCGAATCAGGGAGCCTTTGGGGACTGCTACGCGGTGTAATAATTGCACTGAAAACACTTTAGCGGCAGTGTAGAGATTGTTAAAAAACCAGGCTTTTCACTGCACGTACAACATGTTTTCAATGTCGATCCACCCGACTGCTACGGACAATCAGCAGACAACATCATGTCGTTAAGCGCTCAGAGCGGAGATGGATTCGTCAACCAACTGAACTCAATGTGTGCCCAGCTTAATGCTCTAGATGTACAAGACACATTTCCATAGCATCTAAATTAAATATTTAAAAATAATGCCAAGCAAATTAAATGAAGAATTTTTATACAGTAATTTAATCTAGTGCCAAGCAAGCATGGGCATAGCCAATGAGAGGACGGTACACTAAATATTCCCTTTTCAAATTTAATTCTTCTCGTGGGCTTAAGTTAATTACCTGTGAGAGAGTGACTTGAATAAACAACTATTCCTTCCAACATTAGTTTAAAGTTGTTACTAGTACAAATATTATACCTGCAAGTTACCTAAGAAAATCCACTCAAGTACTGTAGACTTTTACATTGCAAGATCAAGTTTGGTCTTCTATAGCATTCTGAGGCTCTGTCAATGCTGTAATGCAACACATAAACCACTCATATTGTGTCAGCTCATAAAAAAAAAACCACCAAAAATTAACATCTTTCTTATTAACATTTTTAATATTGAAAAATCGTTAATTTATAATGTAAATATTCCCTTCAAAGAAATGCCAAAGCACTTACGATAAACATCAACACTCCCATCAAACTGGTAATGCTCGGTTCTGATTTTGGTGAACCACAAGTTAACACTCAAAAAACTTATGAATTTATAAAGCACCTTTTAACTAGGGATACAAGAGGCTGGATATGGACAATAAGGAAATAAGTATTGCATCTGGCCAGAGCGGAAAGGAGGGATTTGCAATACTGTAATCAATTTTGAACAAAATAAGTTATTTCTAATGCAATATAATGCATATACTGTAAAGCCCCGTAGAAACCATTAAATCATGTGACATGCCTAAATATGGTCACGATGACATTACAACACTAAATATGGTCATACAGCAGTTTTTTGTCAAGGAAAATGTTATAACTTAGACAGGGCTTAACAGTAACACAATTCAACATAATGAATATTCAACAATCTCCCTAAAAAATATCAGAATTAATTTTTTTTAAAGATGTACTATATGGTTATTATACTGTGGAATGTCAAAAAACTGTAAAAGAGAACAGAGATAAATAAATTTTAAAAATAAGTGCCTGAAACTTGTGTTGGGTAGAATTGAAGGTATAATGCATGTCTAAAAAGGAGCATAGTGCTGATAATAATTATACATTCTTATGCATTATACAGTACATACATTACGAATAACGAAAGGCAAAATAAGATAATGCTATAGGGAAAACTACATATAAATATAAGCAAATGAATATCTGATTGTACACATACAGTGCATTGTTATACAAATAATTAATGTTTTGAGTGCAATTGTATGAATAACAAAACATTTACTATTTGTTTTATAACACAACTAAAATAGGTCCTTGTCATTTAATAAGTTAAGGAAAAAAATAGAGTTCAGTCTACCTTTCTTCTGAATGGAAACAGTCCATCGTTTTTTAACTAACAGAAAGATTGTATTAGGTCGAGGCGTGCAATGGGACAAAACGAATAGAACAAAAAATGCACAAATGGAACTAAATCTTCAGGAGTGACGAAATGGTATAAATAACCAATGTCACATGATACAAAATCCATCAATTTTCAGTTTATTTTATGTAAAATGGTTTATGCCAATGTACAGTATTCTGGTCTTGCATATAATTGGTTATCGTATGCGATCTTCTTTAATACTAAGGACAAGAATCCCATTCAATGAGATATTGTACTTGTCCATCTTCAGTGGTCCTTTTGCCATGTATAGTATATTGTTCACCAGATGCGATACGGCTCTCCACTCCAAAATATGATTTGATTGACTGCTTGAGATCAGATAGCGAGAGTTGTGTCTCTGAAAGACCATTTATTTTAGAGTTTACCACGGTGAAGTTGTTGGCAATATCTTCACCATTTTCAAGTTCAAGATCATGCTCAGGGACAAACTTCTTCCATTTTCTCTGCCGTTTTCTTCGCCTTGAAAGGATTTCGGAACTGGTCATGCTTGCCATCGATACAACGGAGCTGCTATCTGATGCGCTTGTACTGTTTGCATAAGAAGTAGCTGGTAACAAACTGTCACCACACTGGAATGTCTCTAGCGGTTGAATGGAATCCAAGACAGATGGCCCACCAACAGGGATGGAGTTAAGAAAACTGGTTGTGTTGCACCTTCCATTGAGGCTTGTATTTGTTTTGTTTTTACTTGAGATGGCTGTTACTGAATTCTGTAGGGAAAAATTTTTAATTTTATATATATCTTTTATTATACTTTAGTAAGCATTTATAATGTTATATATTTTTTCATCTGCTGTTCTAATGGGGGCGTATGGTGCAGCGTGAAAGGCTTTGGACTTCTGATCGCAGGATCGGAAGTTCGAGACACATTGCTTGTGTCCTTAGGTAAGATACTTTACCTACGGTTGCCTCTCTCCAACCCGCAGTACAAGTGGGTACCTGGTAGGTTTGAACACAACTGCGCTGATTACTAGCTGTAATATTATGGAATTCTCCCCAGGGAGCTGAGTATGTGTTCCATACATGTTTGATCCAATGACAGGGGTAGTAATGTGAGGTACTTAGAGGATTTATGCATGAAGCGCTATATAAGACCGACAAAATACTATTATTAATGGGAACAACAGGTACCAACCACCACACATTAACACATTTACCAGCTTTTGGATGATTAATGACAACCTACCTTTTATTTTGTTGTGTCAATATGAATGTTTATGTGGCAGGCTCTAAAAAAACCCACCATTTTTGGACATTTTGGTATTTTTACATTCTGCATGAAAACAGTGTCTATTTAACAGAGATTGGTTGAGTATTTAATAGCGAAGCTATAAATATTTAATTCATCGGATATCAGCAAAGTATTTTATCATTAAGATTTGTAATTTAAAAATAATTTCAATATAATTTTCAGTTAGATTTAGTAATTGATATTTTGCAGAAATGTTCTTCAATATCTACTTTTAGAAACAGCAAAAACCTGAAATTGTCAAAAATCCTGATTCGCAAACATTTTGGGTGCTTGTGCAAAATAAGTAATTGCGACAAATGTAGGGTTTTGCTAGAGGTGGTGACATATAAAAATACATATTTGGTAACTACTTCAGTCTACTACATGTTGAAGTAAATGGAATCTCTCATCATACCCTGTGTTCACCATCCAGCATTTTCCTTGCTTTTTTCGTACGTTTGTCTATTTCTCCGTTGGACTTCCTTTTGCGCAGCAGTGGAACGGGTGAATTACTGTAAATTACAAAAATATTATAAATTACACATTTAGGCTATAATGTTTTTATCTGTTTTTAATAATTCCATTTTCATACATATTTCATATTTAAAAGCCAGGCTCCAGAGAAAAAACTTTTTTGATATCTTGTACCACTGATTTTACTAAGACAAAAAATGCATATTTGACAAAAAACTTGGTTCATGAGTTACAGATTTTTAAAAAACTTGGTAAAAAAGGGCGTAACCAACCTTTTCCCCAACTTTTTGTAGTTGTGCAACATATTAAACCTTTTTTTTTCCTCCAGAGTCTGGTTTTAAAGGCCATACCCCAATTCTTAAATGATATCATAACTATTTAAATTTCAAAATATTAATTACACATCTAAGAATATATCCTTATTATTTGATTAGTGGATTTTGTGACATTGGGTATATTATCATTAATATAAATATCAATAATAGTAATGTGCAAAATTTTAATTCGTTGAAAGATGGACATGGCTCAGCCTCATTGAATGTAAAATCAACCCTTAAGCTCACGAAATATTCTTCTCATTGCACTGGTACTAGTACTGGTACGGGCATTTATAATTCGCCTCTTCCTTGAGGTTATAAAGCGCAGTTCTCTTTTCCCCGGTCATTGGGTCCACATGTTTTAAATGTTGCTGCTAGTAATCAGCGGAGGAGCAGGCAACCCCACCAGGTACTCATTTATACTCCTGGGTGGAGAGAAGCAATGCAGATAAAGTGCCTTGATCAAGGACACAAGCGAAATGCACAGCGTGGGATTGAAACCCCAACCTGGAAGTTGGGAAACCAAACCATTCCCGCTGCACCAAACCGCCTCTAGCTAAACATTTATTATTTGCATACTTAATGATGGTGGGTGATTAGTTTTCGAGTCTCTGATGCAACAAGACTCATTTTGTGGTTGGGTGTCACAGAAAGGATCTGTTTGATCACTTTACTCAAACATAACATGCATGTATAAATATAAAGTGTGTATGCTTATTCATTTTTCTTCTAATTTTGTTTAAAAGGTCAAATAGAAAATGATTTTTCTTGTTTCTACAGTGTTTAATATTATTCTATATTACAGTATTGTTAATTATTATTATATTACCATAAGTGAAATAAATTGGGCATCTTGCAACAACGAACTGGATAACAAATATTTGTCTTTAAAAATGACAAATTTTCTATTTATATTTATCACAGTAAAGCTACAATTAATCTTTATTTTTTAATTTGTATTTAAATTTATATCAGTACTTAGTACAGTAATATATTATCACTTTAATGCATAAAAGAATACATAAAAAAGGAGACAAAGAAAACAATGACACGCAGGTTGAAAAAAGGGAACACACATTATTAAAAACATTAAAAAGAGAGAACATTAAAATGAGGAAAACAAATTTTAAAATGGAGTTATGCTTGTAATTGTTCTACAATAAATGAAAATGGTGGAAATTTACCTTTGAACTGGGACAAATGTCACAACCTTTCGACCCTTCATCTGAAGGTCATTCATAACTTCTTCTGTGATTTGTCCAATAGCTGGCAAGACAACTTGGGGTTGGATTGGTGGTGTCCGAATTCTCAACCCCCAAATGGTTTTTTTCTTCTTAACTTCTTTTCCACAACGAAATCTTATGAACAAAAAAATTATGAATGTTAGATTCTTGTAAAATAAAAATGTCTTTAATAAGCTGAGCCAATTTAATGCGTTTTATGTCTTATCATCTGTAAAGCAAAGTTACTGTTTATGGGACTTGGGGAATAAAAATGTTTTTAGTTATGAGAAACAAACCTGGCACAGGTACTAGCAAGAAATAAATACAGAGCTCTGGGATTGTAATGAATGTTTTTAATGAACCTTTACAACCTCAAATTCAGTTAACACCTAAATATTCCTCCTGTTCAAGGCTTACTTCCTAACACACAAATGTTGTATTCAGGTTCATAACTTGTTATTTGTTTGGTTAATTAATTACCATAAAATTATCATCAAAATTACATTACATTAGCCAAATATTAACACTTCTTTTTAAATCAATCAATAACGTGAGCAAAACAGCTGCAAAAGGAAAAGAATCTATGCTATAAAAAAACCCAGGCAATTAGTCACCATAGTTACAATTTTCTTACTTATTTTTTGATGACGATAATGCTTCTAAAATACATCGGGGTCTTTCAAGTCTGGAACTAGGATGAAGCTGAAAAAAATAAATTAAAAATACTTATAAAGGAATATTAGGAATTAATGAAAACAGATTATACTTGTTTTGTTGTTGTTCATTGTCATCGAAAATAAATTAAGTGTCAATCAACAAGATAAGTATAAACAAGCGTACACAAATGACAAAAATTAACTAATAACTATATATATTAAAGAATCAACATATAAAACTTACATTTTGTGCTTGCAGTCTGTCCCAAATTTCATTAAGAAATGGAATAATTTCTTCTTCAATATCATAATATTTCTTTTTATGCAATAATGTTAGATTATAGAGTACAAGATGCGCAACATCACCCCTAATGAAAAATAGGTTAAAAATGTGAAATTAAAAAATCTGGATAACATTATTCAAAGCTCACCACTTACCCACCACCTCCCAAAAACAAACAGCAAAAAAACACATAACACATTTGGAATTCAAGGGTTGAGCTTACACACTTTAGTAAGACAGTTTTTTTACAAGGAAAAACATTTTCAATGTAACCCAAGACCAACAAAAATAAGTGCGAGTAAATTTTCAAGAGTTTTTATAAGTACTGTTTAAGAAGTCCCCAAAGAAAGCGGGTATTTGTAGAGGTGGAAAACTGTTGGCAGTGATTACATGTGCAGTATTGTACTCAACAAGCATCTGATTTAGTGTAGGCAATGCTTGTATAATGTACAAGATCAGTTAAATATATATGGGTCATGTCATTTATATTTTGCTCTTTGTCTAAATGGAAGCTAATGGATGTCAAAAATTACAGGTGTAACTAGAGAAGTCACTTATTAGAGTGCATACAATCGCCCTGTGCCTGAATGCCAAACAATATGCAGGACGCATGAGCAATACCATTTTTTTCTTTTATGCTCGAGGGTAAGTGCAAGGAGGGGGGGGGGGAAGACAAAAATTAAATTCTTGTGACATTCAGTTGGTCTTTTGACCCTTTCTTCCAAAAGTTAACCATCTTTTTCTTTAAAATTACTATGTAACATTCCACTAAATTTTATGATGATCCAATTCCTTAGTTTTTGCATAATCTTGCTAACAGATAGATAGGGGTGTATACATAACCTTCTTGATGGAGGTTATAAGTGAAATTTATTTAATAGAATATTTTCATACACATAAATCTCATAATAATCTAAAAATGTGTACAAACAGTAAAATAATACAGGTTTTCACTAGTTTTTAAAATTATTGAGCTTTCGATTGCATGACGGCATTATGATGTAGAATGTAAGGACATCAATAATAAGCCATCTGTGCATGAGACAATGTTAGAGTTCTTGTTGTAGGACGCAATTTGTAAATTGTGCAGAGGACGTGGGACAGTCACGCATAAGTGAATCAGTTCTAACATCATGTTGTCGTGCAAATCGAATGCTCCCTATTACCATTTCATTGTCAGCCTCTTCAAATATTCTGGACCCCGATTGCAGACCGAACAAACAAATATGAAAAATCTGCAAACAAAAAAAAAATGATCATATTTTTAGGACGTGGTAAATCTTGGGCTTTTAATCAAATGGTTGTAAATTGAGTTTTGAGAGAGACTACATGTATTCACCTTGCTTGTGCTTGGAAATGGTGTGTTGGTCATGTGTGCAACATGACCCATTTTGAAGTTAAAGAACGTATCATAATCACCCTATTCTGAATAGAGTACCGGGGGGTTGCCTTCTGGTGTACTGCCCAATTCAAAACCAAAGGATCCCATTGAAAACCAGAAGGATTTATTTGGTTATTATTGGTGTGATTCACACCAAAAAGAATCTATATATACAGTATGCCAGAAGGGTGAAATACTGAGAGAAAATGTGAGACAAAATACTTACCTATCCCCATACAGCATAGGCATCTCCAGACACTGCACACAAGCTGAAAGTAACAATGATTAAAAAAACACACAATGTGCATTATTATCCACTCACGTTGCCAGATTCTGCAAAGAGACCAGTTTACTATGTTACCAGGTGTTTACATAACTCTCTTGAATAAGGAAGCAAATATAGCTTGCATGGATATTGCATATTTAAACACTGTTAAAATCTGGACGAACTCTTCAACATTTATTTATTTATTTAGCCCTGTCCAGACTATCAAATATTATTTGATGAAACATGTGACATGCCTAGATATGGCTACGACGACATCACATCATCACCTGATATAGGCACATCATGGGCATACAAAAGTTTTTTGACAAATACAATTTGATAATATGGACACCGTAAATGCTCAAACAAGCGCCGCACCAAACCTGATTATTTTCACTAAGCACCGCAGCGCTTAATTGAGAGTGTATATTAGTGTGTGTAATGAAACACTTTGAGAAACAGGGTTTTTTTCATAAATTTAACCAAATGCTATGTTAGACACAAATTACCAGACACCCTGATGGTTCTCTTACGTTTAGCGTTTACCGCAAGAGCGGTTGGACATGTCACCCTCCTGTATACCCAAGGCATATCTGAAGTGCTCAGCAGGAAGATCCGGCAAGCTGGTATCATGGTTCAAACATGTCCCGTTAACACCATCAGATCTACTGTATGCTAGTGTCTCCGAAAGACAGACCTCTCAAAGGGGCAAGATCATGTGTAGTTTACCACATTCAGTGTGAAGACTGCTACTCCCACTACGTTGGTGAGACGGAAAGACCTTTGCAGGCATGTCTCAAAGAAAACACATGCAAGACGACTCCAGATGGTATCCATATGCTAACACTAATGGTTCTAATTTCGACCCTGATGAAGTAAAAATCCTGAATTGTGTGTCCAGATTGTTTCAACGGGGTGTCAAAGAATCGATTTATATTACAGCTACCAGCCCAGATCTCAATAAGGACAAAGGCAGGCACCCCCCCCCCCCCCCCCGCAATATATCAGCTGGTCATCACGCCACGTGACTCAGACATTTCTCCGCTGTCATGTGACTAGGGTTTTACTCCACCGGTTTCTTCATTCTTGAAAAAGGGTTGGTGGATGACAGTTGAAAATTCGAAGTAAGCAATTTTCACTTTTTATGTTGTGAGACCAGTTCTTTAAAACTTCATTTCAACAGGGTTTGAAATACATATGTATACAGTTTTTAAATGAATGAATAACACAATGAAGACACAAGTATTTCTTTATAAACGTTTATTTACGATGACTAGGACTTATGATAGGCCTACCGAAATATGAAAATACGATTATGTCAAAAAAACAACAACAAAATAAGCGAGATAGGTAACATGGGAAAGGGCAAGGAAAGCGCCATGCCAATATTGTTTTATATGCGCCACCCTCGAAATAAGCAATGCTCTTGAATAAGCGCCGCATGAAGCCTCCAAGTATTATACAAGCACTACGGCGTTTATTCAAGCATTTACGGTATGGCTTTAGAAAATCAAATAACAGGCTGCACTTGATCTTACCTTCATGGAACCACTGTTTACATCTGCAACACTGAAGCATTTTCAAGAACCAGCTATAAGGAAAAATAAAATCAATAAAGAATAACTATATAGTTCTGAAATTTGCATGTTAGTGAGAAACTGAGTGCATGCATTTATTTCCTCTGTTAAAACATTGTAATTCATAATTTAATTCATAATTTTATTGGTATTACAATTTTTATTTATTCATTCGGAAGTAATTATAAGTAAAATACATTCAAGGATAAAAACACAGAAAAGTACAAAAAAGCAACTTATTTCCACTGTAGTCCCTAAATGGGAATACTTACAGTAAATTACAGAATAATACATAATCAAAACAACAAAGTCAAATTCAATAATCAAAAAAAGACATCATAAATAAATAAAGCTATGTATAATAAAGTTCAGATAAATAATGGCTTTTTATGAGTTTTTTAAGAGTGTATATGGATTGTAAATTTTGAACATAATAAGGTAATTTATTCCATTCATCGATTGCGGTATCGATGAATGAGAATCTACTATGTGTACCAGATTTTTGTTTATAAATTGTCATTATAGAAGTCGAAAATCTAGTATTATAGTTATGAAATTGGTTAG